AGCACCTTGAATTTATTATGCTAAGCGGCGCGCCGTTTACCCCGCTGCTTGTCGTTTTGAGAGTTGTCAAAAGCAGACGGGAGTAAGTAGACGTCACGTGATACTCACGTGCAGCCAAGTTGGATTACTAACCGCTAATAACGGCATTTTGAAATGAGGACCACATTTCTATTGGCCTTAATTATTTTCCTTTTCACTCCTTTGTTTTGTTTTTTTAATAATATAAATACTCATTAATTTTATTATTGAAAAATATAATTCGGCAAAATTCAATTTTCATTATCATTTCGTTATTTTTTATTATAATCTTTACCTACATATTTAATGATATTTAAAAATAAATATATATTTTGCTACAGTCATCTAAATTTATTGGAAAGACAATTCAATCATTTCTTCTTTTCTACGTATTAACATTATCAATTTAATATGTGAACTACGAGTTATAATATAGTTTGATTATAAATTTTTTATTTATTATAATTTAATCGATAAACTTAATAAAATTATTTTAAAATGTCTTTTGTACCAAATTTTTTTATAAAAATTCCTCTCGTATTATAAATAAGACTTAAAACATATAAGATAAATTATTATTTTAATTCACGAACTATCTAAGAAATTTTTCTTTTGCAATTTCATTCTTAAATTGATAAAATTTTCTTCATTCTTAAATTGATAAAATTTTCCCAAGTCATAATATATTTTGTATAACTATTAAGATTTTGATAGAAAATAATATATTTTTTTTGTTTTTTTTCATATTCTATTTCTAATAAAATTTAAAAGTTATAATAGGTAAAGGTTGACCTCAGTAAAAACAATTAAGACAATACAAAATAATAATAACATACATTAGTAGTTAAGGAAGAAAAAGAGGTCTGTAATAAATATTTTTTAAAAATAAATTCTCAACCATAAAAGAAACATTGTAGTTTAACTCATTTTCATGTTAGTCAAGTAATACAAGAAGAATTTCTATGAAAATTCAATAAAAATATTATGTCAAACAATTTTATAAATTTAAAATTTCTAATAAAAAAATTGGGAATAAATTGATAATTTACCGAAAATATAATATTTCTAGTTATGACTAAGATCTAAAAAAAGAAATAAAAAAACTAAGTAAAAAATATTACAAATCTCATATTCTTCCTTAATGTATGTTATCATTTATATTTTCAAATAAAAGAAACTAGTTGTCTTTAGGCTAAGTTACTAAATTAACCTCCAAAGTTTGCACTTGTTATTATTTGGTTTTTACTATTTTACATTTGTTTTAACAGTTCAACAATTCTCACTATATGTTTGTCTTTATAATTCTCTTAATAACAATTTTTGTTTATTCATTTGTAAAGATGACACCAATTTATTAAGCAAAGATGATTTACAATATAAATAGATGAAGTTGAAAAATAAGTGTAAGATTGACATATGAGAATAGGGTTGAAATATAAAAGAAAAAGTTCATAATGAGGTAAAATGTGACAACTGCAAGCACAACTTGGACTGTACACTCAAATGTGTAAAATAAACGAATGTGATCTCTAGATTTATCTTGAAAAAGCAGCATAATGTTTAAAGTAATAAAGAGAATCAACTGAAAAACTTAAAACTTACATGAGAACTTTGAAAGAGAGTAATGAGTATGAAAAGTATAGAGCATTTAGAGTTCTTATCAACCGTTATATTAGATATCTATATATAGTGTGCCTCATTACATACAGTGTTTATGATTAATATGACGTGGTTATAATCATGAAGTGAAATAAAAATTCTAACATGACAACCAAAGCTTTAACATTAGTATTTACGATCAGGTTATCATTATTAAAGTCTGGTTGTTATTACTATTATTAAGTGTCGACTTAGTTACCCCCCGTTTTTTAGACTTAGATGTTCTCAACTTGGTTGATAAGTGTCCCTAACTCAGTTATCAAGTATCATGGCTTAGTTGTTAGGTGTAATACCTTTCTTGATAGTCAAATTTTTGGGTTGTTATATGTCATGTTTTGGTTGTTAAGTATCTTGCACTTGTCAAGTATTGTGCCACTTGTACAATGTACTACTACATGTCAATATCGTATGTAGTTTCTATTTCTAAATATACTAAAATTCATCATTGTTGTTAAGATTTCAATACATTATTTTTAAGATAAATATACAAGATAAATATAAGTAAATATTAATGTTATCCATATTATGTTTAGATTCTAACAATAGTGAGATGCATTATGTCCTTCTCCTTTAATGAAATAACTTTATTTTTAAAAAAATTAAACCTATATTGATTTGTAAGAGAAGGTTCAAATTCATGTTGGTGTTTATAAAAGTTAGAAATTAAAGGGTAAAATACAATTTAGCCCCTTAACTATGGATTATATTGTAATTTAATTTTAAAATTTTTTATTATAATTTACTTTCTAATCTTGTAAAAATGTTCTACATCTTGATTTTCTAATGATATTTTTATAGGACAAACAAACTTTTTTCTGTATTAATTAATTAAAAAAAAAACTGATTTGAAAAATATAGGCTTCACTTTATAAATAAAAACAATTTTGTATTTCTGAATTTATATACATTTTATTCATAAAATCATAAAATTTAATTAAAAATAGAGAACATAACAATAATATATAGGAAAAAATTGTTTGTTACATTATATGTCAAAATTTTTTGAAGTGATATAAGGAAATAATGATTTGAAATAATTTTATAAGTTTAAAAACCAATTGTAACAAAAAGAACAAAACCTAATTATAATATGAAAAATAATTCAAATAATAATTTACTTGAAATGAAATACACAATTTAATATTTTAATTAGACATTCTAAGATTTGTGTTAATATTATTAGAAGTAAATAATTATGAAGATACATTTTTTTACATTACATCATGAGTAGTCACATAAATACAAAATAAAAATAAAAAATAGAAAGGATGATAGATTTATAGTAATTGTAGGGCACTAAAGTGTAAAGCATCCCCAATTTTTAGAGACAAATACATAACTCTTTATGTGAAGATAGAGAATTTGGTCAAAAGATATATAAGATATTTATTTAATCACAAGATATAAAGGAATGGAGGAGTCCCAAGTTTTGGGTCCTAACTTGCAACTCTTCATCCTTGAGAATGGCAAAATATCTAAATACATTATAGATTGTGTTTTTTTGCTTTTTTTTTCTTTTTAACTTTTACATATTTTTATTTGTGGAAATATGTAAAGATTATATATTAATTGAATAATGAATATTTGAATAAAATAATTATCTTAAAAATATATTAATGATATATTAAATTTCTTTAATCTTATCATAATTGTTGTTATTAACTAACAAGTATATATATTTGTGAATAAATCACATATAAATTCAAAAATAAAAGTCTAATATATATTTTTTCTTCGTTATTAATTTTCTATATGAAGTTCATTTATTTATATTTTTATACTAATTAAGTTATAAATTAAGTATAAAATGTTAATATAAATTAACTATATAATATTATATAATGTTAAAATTTACATACACATATATACATCGTCTTCTTATATCACTTGCATTATTGACCCTATTTGTTCTTTCTTTTTTCTTTTTCTTCCTTTGTTTATTCTTATTCTCTACCTTTTACTCTTCTAGTTTTTCTTTTTCTTTTTATTTCCTTCTTCTTCTTCTCTCACTTCTACTCTTCTAGTTTCTTATTTCATCCTCTCTCTTTTTTCTTCTTCATCCTTCCTTCTTTTACCTTTATCTCATAAACCTCATTCTTCATCTCTAACATTTAGCAACAGTAGGCTAGCCATGTAGCTCTCCATTTACCACCTTTAGGAATCACCATTATTCTGGTTCTGAGAGAAATCTCTACATAGTATGACATCTATTGCTCCTAGAAATTCATTAACATTCTTATAACAGTACCATTCTCTTTAAACTAAAGATCATATGTCCAATTGTGAGTGATGGTTTATATGAGGCAATTTAAATTTTAAGGAGATTGTCTCTTCTATTATATTGTAAAGAAAAGCATACTCATTACTTTGAAGCAGTAAAGGTTGTCTTTAAGGAACTTGGCCTCAACTTTTTCTAAAGCAAATCCCCACACCAATTCTTTCACTAACTTCATAAATTTTACTAGGATCAGCCAACTTGTTTTCGATATTATAGATATCTTTCCTAGAAGCCTCAAGACATTACTTCAAATATTAATCTACTGAGCATCAAGGTCACTTTATTTCCTCTCATCTTAGTTTTACTTAATGTCTTTTTACACTTAGAGGTTGCTCATCCTCTCATCAAATTTTTTTTACAACACTTAATAAAGCATTTTAGTTTTTTTTTAGATCTTCCAATTAAAATTCTAAGAGTTTGTATATATTGAATTTGCCCATCTATCACCTAAAAAAGATTATCATACTCATGTTGGGGTTTTATAGTATGAGGAGCTTAACTCCTCATCTTGATACTTCAAGAATTATATCCTTGGTTTTCCTTACACTTCTCTTAATCACAGTAGTTGTCTTTTCATCCCTATAGACATCAATTAATAAAGTTTGGCATGACTATGTGGAAGTTGAAACATAAACGCAAGCATTGACAAATAAAATGAGGGTTGATAGAAGTAACAAATGAAATGAGAGCAAGGATTGACTACTAAAAAAAGAAGTAACAAATGGAAGGATAAGTTGGATCCCATACTCTAATTTATAAAATAATAAATGATGATCCTTAAGTTTTATCTTGGGGGACATAGTAACACTTAAGTTAATAAAATTTTGATAAATCTAAAGAGTATCTGAGAGCTTTAAGAGAGAATAATAAATATGAAAAGTGAAAAGTCTGATAAACCCTTATTTTAGCTACCTATGTATAGTTTGTCTCATTATATACAGTGTTAGTGGGCATTACAAACAATGTTATAACTAGAATGTAAAATAAAAGTTATAATATGATAATGGAAGCTTTAGCATTAAAATGTCTTCAAGTTCAAGTTGGCTGTTATTGATAAAGTCTTATTGTTATTGCTATTGCCAAGTGTTAACTTGTTTACTGCCATTTTTTACTTGGTTATCAATCGCTTCTAACTTGGTTATTCAAATGTCTTCAACTTGGTTGATAAATGTCCCCCACTTTATTATTAGGTATCATGGTTAGTCGTCAAATATTTCAACTAACTTGTTAAGTAATTTCTTTGGCATTCTTGGTTGTCAGGCTTCTGGCTACCTTAGTTGTTAGTATCCCAACTTGGTTGCCGAGTATTTTACCCTTACTAATTATTTATTCTATTTGTATAATGCATTTGTCATATGTCATATCATATGTAGTTTCTATTTTTATAGACATTAAAATTGATCATCATTGTTAAGGTTTTAAAAATTTTTGTTAGGATAAGTATATACGATCAATATATTTAAACACTAATATGATCAATAATTTTTTAAAAATGAAACGTAGAATTTAATAATTTAATTAGATATTTTGAGATTTATATTAATATAAATTTAATATAATTAAAAGTATAAAGTATAGTGTGCAACATAGATGCATAATATATGAAGATGCTTTTTTATATTACTCCATCATAGTATTCATCTTAAATATTGACATCTCAATATAACATAACAAAATATAGAGAATCATAGATTTGACAATAATAAATGTGGGTTACTAAAGTGTATACACTCCTATTTTTAGATACAGATGTGTACTCATTGAGAAAAATGAGAAGGAAAAAAAAGAAAGACTTTATGTAAACATAGAAAATGTAGTTTCTTTTTTATAAACTAAAATGTAGATAAGAAACTAACAGAATGTGATAACTTCAACTAAGAAAATCTAATTAATGTAGAATGTTCTTTCTGTTAGATTCATAGTAACTCATTAGGACAAAGCATAATTTGACGTTGTAACTTTACCAATATACTTAAAAACTAATATTTAAATTTACTAAATCAAGTAGTACAAATCGATCATTATCAACTCATAATATACTCACAAAATAGTAAAATTTAAAAAATATAAACTATAATTAAAAATAGTGCAAAATATCACAAGATATGAAGCAACAAAGGAGTCTCAAATTTTTGGCCCCTACCAATCTTCATCATTGTGTGAATGGCAAAAGATAAGTGTATATGTACTTAGTTGATTATATAAAAATATTCTATATATTTTAATAATTAAATAAATTTTGTATACTAACAACATTACAGTTAATATTATAATTAAAAAGAAAATAACATAATAAACTTTTAAATAAGTACACACAGAATGTACAGTCTGATTCAAACTCATAAACTCATTAAAGTGTATTTTTTATTTTCTAAATTGATATATTTATGCATCAATCTTTTCATCCACGAAATTATGTGAGTATTACATATTTGTAGAATAATTAGTGTAAATGAAATAATATTTTAAAATTGTTCAATCTTATCGTAATTTTCATTAGTCTTCTTCTTATCATTAACTAACAATTGTATAGCTTCGTGAATGAACTATATATAAATTATAAACTATATATTAAAAAAAAAATATCTACATATAACTTTAAGGAAGATATTTTTGCATAAAAAATTATTGTTTCTTTAAAGAGTGGCATTATGAATTATTAATTATTTTGACAAGCAAAGAGAGACCCCTACCAACATATATATATATATATATATATATAGAGAGAGAGAGAGAGAGAGAGAGAGAGAGAGATAAAAACACACATATATACATCATTTAGTTTCTGCCATATGGACTCCATCTTACTGTTGCTGCAATAAGAGAAAACAGTAGAAGAGATGGGCACTGATGTGAAGGCCAAGTTCATGTGTCTTTGTCTTCTTAGACAAAGAGTATGATAAATGGCTCATCTTCTCTTAATCAGTTCATATCAGTATCACTTTTGAGTTTCATGAGTTAAAATTTTGAATTTACAAAATAATAATAATAAATTTGCAAGTTACGTGGATGAATTATTTATAAGATGATATTTTATCAAAGTCATAATATATGTATATATATCCATATGATATATATATATATATATATGTATAGGACATTCATGTAACTGCCAATTTCATAATAATTGTTGGCATGTGGCCAACCTAGCTAGTAGCTACCTGATCCATTGTATCACACGTTATGACCCATGCATGCAAATCTCTAAAGACACAAGCCATTAACAAAAGACAAGTAATCCCAAATTATTGGGTTCGCCTGAAAGCTATTACAATATTAAGATCAACTCATATATATGCATATACACACCCATCTATATACATATACATATATATATATATATATAAACGTGGATTAATTGAAGGGCCACGGTGACAACTACATATCTGCATGTAAGCACGTACTTTTGTCTCCCAATGTCGGTTCTTGATTGATGCATGAGCTCAATCTCTAATATTTTCTTTATAATTAGTTGTCTTATCATAAAAGTCCACAGATAAAAATTCGAATTCATACCTTTTTTAAAAATAGATGAAAATAATATTAAGGTTTAAATAATGATTAGTTTATTAATTGGTCCCTAATTAGCTACAACTTCTTTACACAAATTATAAATTTACAGACATTGTTATTCAAATATTAACTCAATTATATTCTGAGTTGTGGCAAAATGTATATAGTGGAGATAAATTTAATTATCTCTTCACCTAGTGTTTGGTAGGTTAAATGTTGACTTACAGTGGTGTGTTATGTGTATATATAATATAATATTAGGTGAAGACAGTTTCCATGAAAGTAGATCGGTGTTGGCCACTTTAGCTTTAAGCAACAACTTTTCATGACCCACACGTCCCAGTTTGTACGAATTTATATTGTGGAAATTAAGTACAATTTAGACTGCATGCATGCTTCTAATGACAGGATTTATTCATAATTATTAGCCCTAATTGGCCCACTTATCCGTAATTATGTTATTTTTTAAAAAAACGATCGCAGGCACACTTAAGACTGCAAGCACCTGACATAATCAGTTTCAATTATTGAATATATGTATCTTTCCTACTCGTGCAAATAATTATGTTATTAATCCATGCATATATGCATATGTATAAAAATTAAATTCGTAATTTCAACTTTCGTATACAACTAAATTTCTCCTGCCCTGATCGATTGCAGTTGATCATTCACATAGAAAAACCAAGGAAATTTCACGAACAAATTCTTATGCATTTACCCAAATGAATCAAACTTTCAAACTAGCAGAGAAGTTGACATATGGCATAATAATCTCCAAGATATGTTGTAATATGAATAATACAATATTATGAAATAAGAAAAGCAGAGAAGGATGGGACCGTCGACAACAGTAACTTCAAGTTAAGCTTTTGCATGCACATTTCTTACCATTGGTTTTAGAGATAATGTGCACAAAAGCTGCTTTCAATTGAAGTTGTCGACGATGAGTAAGTAACTGCCAAAGTTTTTGCTGCTTTTAATTTAGAGCAGCCAATGGCCATATAGGTATCATACTACAATAGTCATCTAGACATTCAAGTCATATGCAAAACACATGCTGCATTTAAATGTAATGTTTCATGATGAAAAGCCTATATTAGCATCTCAAAGTTCCCAAAATTTCCCCCCCTCAATTTCCCCTTCTTGGGTATAAATAAATATGAAGCTTCTCTAGAAGTTTTTCTGTGTAGCAAAAAAAAATTATAAAAGCCCGCATGAAACCTGCATTTCTATTCTCTGTACACAAAAAAAAGGGGACCCTGTACATACAGGAAAAGGCTCTTCAAAAAACTTGCTTCTCCATCTTGAACCGAAAAAAGGCAATCTTCAGTTGTCGGATTTATCACATTTAACATCAGGTTTAACTACTTTCCGGCATTTCGGAACTGGCTTACGCAACATTGATGTCCCTTCAAAGATCATCATTAGGTAATCCTTTCTGTAAGCATCCACCTGCAACAAGGAATGAGTTAGTCTTCGGATCTATGAGCTCAAAGAAAGGACAATGCTAGCTGCACACACCTCTTTCTGTGTCATACTGTTAAAGCCAAATTTATCCGTCCAAATAGATTTTGCTTCTTCAGCAGCTGGAAGCACGAGATGCTTCACATTTAAAAAGCCAAGTAGCATCTCCAGACAAGAGAATAAGCACTGGAAGTAACCCTGTTGGGGATAATAAAAAGAATTGTCAGCCTCCCATGGGAAAAAAGTTTAAGTATGCTCAAAATAATCGAATTGTTTTTGTGGGCTTATTTAAATGTATTCTTCATTTGATACTTAGTTCAATAGTAACAAAACTAAAATAATATATTTTAAATTTAAGATTTTCAAATTCATCTGTACTAATTATAACCTATGTTTCAATAGCTTCCAAAAGGCCTGGCCATGCACATGGTGAACTGGGAAGGGGATAAGAACTAAAAGAAATGAAGAGTAAGCATTATAACGTATTATGACAACCTGTCCTTGGCACTCATTACTTGTTGCAACCAAAGGAAGCTCGGCCAGATCTGTCCCGAAAACCCTAAAAACCCCAACGGACACAATCACTTGGCTGCACAACAAGCAAGGATTATTAGTGAATGAAACATGGAATGACCCTCCAAGTTCAAAAAGCAAGAAAAAGAAAGGTCCTCACTTCACAGTCAGTATGGCACAATACATTCCACCAAAATCCTGGCCTTTAACTTGCCTTCTGGAAAGAACGAACAAATCCAATCAACAATCAGCAAATTGCAAGGAAAAAAAATTGCATGAAGATGCACGGAAGGATAGAGCAATATGCTCACCCATAAACCATAGCCGGTATGAGATCCCCTCTAGATCCAGATTCACTAATAGGATCAAAACGATCCTAAAGCACATAACCAAGTGGAGATGGAAGAAAAAAAAATCAATCAGACCTTCAGAACAACAAGCTTATTAAGTATTCAACAGAAATTACGCTATGCACAGGCTACATTTACAAAGTTCTAAACAGAAATGTAGCTACAATTAAATTTTTTTCAAAAGAAAAAACTCATGTACATGAGAAATAGAAGAAATCTGACCATCATGAGATAAATAAATATTCTTCACTAGGATATCAATATTACACGAAATCCCAGCTAATTATTACGTTAACAGCATATAATTTACTCACATGAAGGATAGCAACTGCACTGGAAAGCAGCCTCCTAGCATCTGACGAGGCCATTTTCCCACTAAGAACCCTCCATCTTACATCAAGATTACTTGTCCTCTGAGGACCATTTTCCACATGCTTTTTCTTTATAACATTCAGAAACGAATCTGGTAGCTTCTCTTCACCACGAATTATCAACTTGTTCAAAGCAGAATTAATTTTCTGGCATTCTTTGCAACAGAACCATTGTCCTTCCGGCAATACCTGTTGAATAGCAGGTGTCAAAATGCACTAGTAAAAAACGACCAACATAAGAAATGATGCATCATAAAGCAGGAAATCAAAACACCTTAAGGTCATCAATGTTGTGATCCCTCAGACAGCCAACATGAAATTCTTTTTCACACTGGACAAAACAAAAATAAGCAGTAATAAAGTTAAAATTTGAAGATTTGTTAACTATAAACAAATCTGAGTCAAGAATATACCTGATCACAAATAATAACAGTGCGAGGGCCAAAACCTGACTTGCTAAAACTATGGCCCCTGAAAATATCAGGACATGAGAGAATAAATCAAGCTCTGATGAAAGGAAACAAAAAGTAAGAATGAGCATGTATATGAAAATTGTAAACTGAAGCAACATGAGCATACTTCTGTACCTTGTAACATATAAATCATCAATTATTTAATAAAATTTTTGCCAATGGACTAAAACAGTCACCAAATCAATTATGGAGTACATGGATACTTCAAGCACAAGATATTATGAAAAAAGGTAGCAAAAAAAAAAAGAAGGGCCGATGGTATGCTTCTACTGAAGTGTGAGAATAGTGTATACTTAACCTGCATAACACGCATACACTGCCAAGTTCAGAACCAGGGGAATTGACAATACGAATGCATCGCTTGGTAATTTGTTCAATTGCATCTACTCCAGCAACCCTTCCAGCTGCAAGAGCATTGGCATTGCGCTCCACAAACCTTTCTTTCTGAAACACATTCTGACAATATCTACAGAACCAAGTTCCTCCAGGAACTTCAGGTAAAGAAAGACATTCTGAAATATTCCATTATTAGATCATGTCAACCAACCAATCCATTAAGGATAATAATAAAACTAACTGAAGTGCTCCAGACACAAGGTAAGGTACTTGATATAAAAAAGCTCAGAAAAATTCCCACAACAATCACCTTTCTAATCCTAACCATTTATGGGCCATAGCAGCAGCCCTGCTATTTCAGAAATTACTTTTACTTCACCGTATTTTTAGCCTACTTCTACTGGGGGAAAATCTATAATACCTTCTATAATGTCACCCTTGAGATCATAATCAGCCAATAAAAATGGTTCTGATAATTTTCTCAGTATCTTTGAATTCAATTAATACTTAAATGTGATGCTTAAGAACCTAGGTATAATATCTAGGTTACCCAAATCCTCAAGTAGGCAAATCAACTTTAATTTGTCCTACCTCAATTGGTAATTTAGCTAAAAGTTAAAACACCCAAAATCTCATGATTCTCCTCCACAAATTCCATCCATCTGAGACGGAAAAAAAAATGTAACCTTAAAAAATCTATCCCATCTAAGATCCCCCAACAACCAGTAAAAATTAACAATCACTGCCACCATAACTGGCTTCAGACAGGTCCCTCTGGGCTATACCGAGATCCTCTTGGCGAAAAACCCTTAGAACACCCACCACTAGCTGGAAAGAGAACAAACCGATGCTGCTTCTCCAGTTCGCAAATGTTCTGTGCATAACACGTCGCACCAAGCGCCAAGTATAACACTGCTTCAAAGCCACATATATTGCCAGAGCCACGATGTCCTCAGTGACAACTAGCACATGGCACATGACCAATAAACAGATATCATGAAACATACTCTGTTTTGACTCTTTCCCAAACTGGTTTAACTAGAATGCTTCCCTCAGACCAATTCAACCTCCTCTTTCAAGAAGGGAAAAAGATAAAGAGAGCCAATTCAACCTCTTAAAGGTTTATTTCATCAATTAGATGAGTTCATAAAAATATTTGATGCTTTGATGCCAGTCAGATGCTTT